TTCCCATCACTGTAAATAGCAACAACAAAACAAAAACAAAACAAAAGGTAATAGAAAAGAAGCAATGTGATTCACATGTAATATTCAAAGATGTGTTAGGTTACCATCTGTTTGAAGAGGCTTTACCGTATGGGGTGATGTGAGTTTGGGAGTGAAACATGCATGTATTGCTGTGTTATGTAAGTCTGTAATAAGTGACTGAGGAAGTTGGTAAGTGTCAATCAGGAAAGTTTTCCTAGAAATTAACACAGGGCATAGGTTATTGGCAAAAACTATTTTAGATGAAGAACACAAGGGTAGGAAACTATGATCCATATTGTGAGAACCACGAAACTAATTTTTCTGTAAGTGAAGACCTGGTAAGGTTGAATGAGAAGTAACTTGTATGCCTTATTAGAGTAGGCTGTAGGTGGTAAATAGAAAAGTCTGTTTACAGTTAAGCAGGTAAGAGGAAGATATGGAGGTTTCAGCTGGTTTAGAAAGATAAAAATTTAGGACCACGTTTTTAAGACTCTATGCTCTGTCCTGGAAACTAGTACGGGAATATAGGTAAGCAATAGTAGGATAGTATGTGGCTAGTATGCCTCCAAAGAAAACCATAGATAGGATGGAAGTGTTTTGGCACATGGATAGGTGTGATACAGAGACTTGGGGGAGTATCCAACAGGAGAGAACAGAGATTTGTTAGCACATGTACGAGATAACTATAAAGGAAGGTGATAATGAGTTGTAGATACATTGAAGTGTTGTATGTACAAGGGTAATATTCTATGTACACAGAAATGTGTATTGGGAGAATTTTAAGGGATTTAAAATATTTTAAATTCAGTGCTTGGAAGTGATAGCCAAGGAAAAAGTGAAGCTTGTCTTCAGGGGCCAGTGAGACAGGTCCGAGGGTGAAGGCACTTGTCCCAAGCTTGATGAGCCAGGCTTGCTCCTTAGGACCTGCATGGTGGACAGAGAGAACTTACTACTACAAGGTGTTCTCTGACTTTCATATGTGTTCCCTCAAAGTAATGTTTTTCTTTCCTTCCCTTTCCCCTTCTTCCCCTTCTACTTCCCTTTCCTCCTCTCCCACCTCCTTCTTTTTTGTTGTTTTAAGACACAGTCTTAGTCTATAGCTCTGGCTGTTCTGAAACTTGCTATGTAGACCAGACAGGCCTTAAATTCACAGAGATCTGGCTGCCTCTGCTTCCTGAATTCTAGGACTAAAGGCATATGAACCACACCTAGCTTCATTTTTAATTTTAAAATTAGAAAAAATTGATTTTTTGATTGTATTTTTGTGCATGTACTGTATGTATGTGTGTGTGTGGTGTGTATATGTGTCTTGATGTGTACACGTATGTCTATGAGCTCTGCATACGTGTGTATGTCTGGTATATTGTGTGTTTTGTTTATATGGTATACGCATATATGTGTGCTTTTCATATGTAGTGTGTATGCCTTGTATATATGTGTAGAAATTGTATGTTTGTGTGGCTTGTGTATATTTGTGTATATGTGTTGGGTGAATATGTGTGGTGCACATATGTTTGTGTTATGTGTATTTGTGTGGTACATGCATGTGAATTTTGGAAGTACTTGGAAAAAAAAATAGAAAAGAAAACACATTTATAGCTGGACGGTGGTGGTGCACACCTTTAATCTCAGCACTTGGGAGGCAGAGGCAGGCGGATTTCTGATTCCTCAGATTTACTGAGGCCAGCCTGGTCTACAGAGTGAGTTCCAGGACAGCCAGGGCTACACAGAGAAACCCTGTCTCGAAAAACAAACAAAAAAAAAAAAAAAAGGAAGAAAAGGAAGTACTTGCACTTGTGTGCGTACATATGGATGATGTTGGAAAGTGTTAGGTATCTTCCTCTCTTGATCGACACCTTTTGACTTGAGACAGGATATTCTCACTGAAACATAAGCTCACTTTTTTGGCTAGGCTTTGACCAGTGAGTTCTGGAGATGAAATTTTGCAAAAATGTCCACTCTATCCAAAGCAATCTACAAGTTCAGTGCAATTCCTATAAAACACCAATGGCATTTTCCACAGAACTAGAATACTCTTAAATTTTATAGGGAATCTAAAACAAACAATACACAAAAATCAGTCAGAGCGTAATGTAGATTGTGGGGATTGTCATTATACTGTTTTGAAGTACAATTTTTCTTCTTTTTTTTTATGAGCATAACAAATCAATAAGTTGACTTTAATGCCAGTACATGCATATCTTATAAAACATAAGGTGTTAATTGACACAAAAAAGAGATACAAATGACTAATATTTGAAACTCTTCAATACGATTAAACAAAATACAAATTAAAAGTTTATTTTTTCTTTGACATTTGTATTTATGTGTAGCATGTGTGAGTGTTTAGGGTGACAATTTTTCTTCTGTTTTTGTTTTTCCAAGATTAAAGATTGAAGGTGTGTGTTACCATTGCCTAGCTTGAAGTTCATTCCTTCTATACCTAATTTTTTTTTTTAAGTCATGAAGGGTATCTTAGGATGTCTATTACTGTGAAGAGATACCGTGGCCATGGCAACTCTTAAAAAGGAAAGGATTTAATTGGTGCTGGCTTACAGAACTTTAGTCCATTATTGTCATGGCAGGAAGCATGACAGCACACAGATAGGTGTGGTGCTGGAGAAGTAGCTGAGAGTTCTGCATCTGGATCTTTAAGCAGCAGGAAGAGAGGAGGGTAAGCCATTGAGCCTGTCTTGGGCTTCTGATACCTCAGTGCCCACCCCCAGTGATACACTTCCTCCAACAAGGCCATTCTACTCAACAAGGCCACACCTCTGTATGGAGGCCATTTTCATTCAAGCCACCACAAAGGGATTTTATCCAATGCTTTTTTTTTATATCTGTGGAGATGATTGCACATTCTTTTAGCCTTCACTTTGTTGATTTGATGTATTTTATTTACTAATTTTCATGCTGACTTATTCTTGCATCTTTAGAGTCTCACATGATCATGCTCTTGTATTTGACTTAGCAATTTGTTGAGAAGTTTTGTATTTATATGTTCCTAGGAATATCAGCCTGTAGGTTTTTTTGTGTTGTGGGTAGAGAGTTGACTTCCTTCCCATGTTTTGGAACAGTTTGAAGAGAATTGACATTGGTTTTGTTGTTGTTTGGACAGGCAGTCTGGTGCTGTGGCCTAGGCTTGTCTTGAACTTGAATCTTATTGCCTTATCCTCCCAAGTACTAAGTGTGTATATGATACATGGTTTGCCATTATTCTGTCTTTGAAAGTTTGGTAAAATTCATCAGTGCAACCTTCTAGTGCTATTACTATCTTATTTTTTGGACAATCTGTGTTACTGATTCAGTCTTACTGCTTGTTCTTGGTAGGTTAAAATTTTGTATATCTTCCTGGTTCTGTTTTGGTGAGGGTTCTGTATACCCAGAAGTCTGGTTCTAGGTTTTTATATTTATTGGCATATAGTTGTTCATAATAGTTCCTAGGAAACTTTTGTATTTCTATGGTATCAGTTATAATTTGTCTTTTTCATCTTTGATTTTACTTGAATTTCTTCTTTTTTTCCCTTAACTCTTTTTATAGTAATATGGTATTAATTTGATTATTTTTAAAATTACTTCTAAAGACTTTTCTTTTTTTCTTTCTTCCAGTTCTTGGAGACGTTTGTATCTGTGCACTGTAGCCTGCAGGAGAGATGTAGTCAGGATGTAGTAGACTTGTGGTCTTATCACTGCGTTCCGATGGATGCTTTGAGCAATTACAGCATTAGAGCAGTGGCAGTTTTGTACAGGGATTTTCGCTTTAGAAAGTGACTTCACATTAAGTTTTTTCATTTTCTGTCCACATTTTCTTGGAATGATTGAATCAGGGATGTGTCTTCTATGCTTCATAATTGAGAAAGGGTGACTGTTGTAGTTTATATGAATGAATGATGGCACTAACATATAGGGTTTCTGAATCAGAAACTTGGATTAGCTTTATTATGAACCACAGAATCTTTCTATATGTGGCAGTTGACAATATAAAATATGTCACTACTATTGCTCTGCAGTAACCTGGAAAATAATCATTTGTTGGAGGCTGGAGAGATGGCTCAGTGGTTAAGAGCACTGACTGGTCTTCCAGAGGTCCTGAGTTCAATTCCCAGCAACCACATGGTGGTTCACAACCATCTGTAATGGGATCTGATGCCCTCTTCTGGTGTGTCTGAAGACAGCAACACTGTACTCACATTAAAAAAAAAATCATTTGTTTACTTCTTGCTGCATGGTCCTTGTTTTTCAAATAATGCTTCTGGGTTGTGGAAGTTGTGAGATAGGCACTGTTGACTGCTAAGAAAGGGATGACGTTGGCAATTTCTACCCCATAAGGCTGCCACTTAAGTGACATGAGAAAAGAGTAGCCTCACATTTAAATTTTATAATTATTCTTATTATCAGCTTTTTTTTTTTTTGGTGTTTTTCGAGACAGGGTCTTTCTGTATAGCCTTGGCTGTCCTGGAACTCACTCTGTAGACCAGGCTGGCCTCCAACTCAGAAATGCGCCTGCCTCTGCCTCCCAAGTGCTGGGATTAAAGGCGTGCGCCACCACCGCCCAGCTATTATCAGCCATTTTATTTATCATTATTAATATTTTGATCAGACATATTTTATGTGTGAGAATGAAAGGAAATCAAGAGAAAATAGAATAAATATTTGTACATTCATATCAATGCTGCCTAAGTAGTTAAATTGGGAAGATGTGTATATACTGTCATTGTTAAAAGTATACACTGGAACTCAGATTTTAAGTACTAGCTTCAGAACTTTATTTGTACTTACATTAAAAAATATATAGTTAACTTGAAAATATCAATGAACTCAGTGACTCATTTAGTTTTGGAATTGCATTAACAATAATTTTCATAATATTTTTAACTTGTTCTATATAGGTTTAGTAACAGAAGGGTTTAAATGACTAAGTTAGTTTGCTAGAAATTAATTATCTTTAAATTGATGGCCACTGTTTTTCTCTCCCACAGTCACCAGATAAGCAGCGAGCCCTAGAAGAAACCAAAGCCTACACCACTCAATCCTTAGCAAGTGTTGCGTATCTGATAAACACTTTGGCCAACAATGTCCTACAGATGCTGGATATCCAGGCATCACAGTTACGGAGGATGGAATCTTCAATCAACCATATTTCACAAGTGAGACCATGTTAAATTTGTTTGCCTATGAGCAGTACACAGCCTGTTGACTGCCTTTGTTATGCAGGTTGATGTGCATGTATTTGGAAAATATGAATTTAGTATTATATTGTTAATGATCCTTTTTATAATGTTATCTTTTTAATTGAATTTTATTTATTGTTTTACTTACTCACTTTACATCCCGCTGTGATGTTATTATCTTTATAGTTTGATAGAAAAGTAAATTTTGATGGATTTTATTAAAACTCAGTTGCCACAGTAACAATCACTCCTGAAGTGAAATTTTATCTTGGTATTTTATTTTATTTTTGTTTTTCTTGAGACAGGGCTTTTCTGTGTCACTCCGGCTATCCTAGAACTCACTCTGTAGACCAGGCTTGCCTTGAACTCACAGAGATTCACCTGCCTCTGTGTCATGAGTGCTGGGATTAAAAAGAAGTGCACCACCACTACCCAGGTATCTTTTTTTTTTTTTTAATATTTTGACAGATTTTTTTTTGAGTCTTTATTGCTTTAAAAATAATGACTCAATAGCTTGGTGGCTAATTTAATTTTTTTCTCCTATCAGTAGGCTTTTTAAACTCTCCTTTGGTGGTTTAGTCAGTGTTTTATTGCTGTGAAGAGAATAGTGTCTCATGGTGAGCACAGCAATTCTTATAAAGGGAAGCATTTGACTGGAGGTGACTTGCAGTCCAGAGTTTTAGTCCATTATCACCATGGTAGGAAGTATGGTGGCAGGCAGTCAGACATAGTGCTGGAGAGTAGCTATGAGCTCTGTATCCAGATCTACAGGCAGCAGGCAGAAAGTCCTCTGGGCCTGGCTTGAACATTCTGAAACCCCAAAGCCCAGTGACACACTTCCTCCCACAAGGCCACACCTTCTAATCACTGTAAAGTAGCACCAATCTCTAATGACCAAGCGTTCAAATATATGTACCTATGAGAGCTATTTTTATTTATTTTATTTAGTGATGTTGGAATTGAACTTGGAGCCTTATGTATGCTGGCCAACCACTCTCTTACTGAACTCTCACTTAGCCCAGGTTTTATGTTTACTAGAATGATACCTACCAGCCATATTTGCAAAGTGGGAAAGTTTAGGAGACTAGCAAACCTTATAAAAATATCTTTACATGAGACTTTAAAATAAGTGTTAAATAAGGAGAACAAAAAAGGGTAGTATTAGGGGATAAGGAAGGATAGGATGCACATAGAGGACATATGAGTCATATGTCTGTAAAAATCTGTAAAGGTAATTGCTTTTCAAGCTTTAACTTTGGTGTTGTTTCCTCCTCTTCCTCCTCCACTTCTTCTTCTTCTTCTTCTTCTTCTTCTTCTTCTTCTTCTTCTTCTTCTTCTTCTTCTTCTTCTTCCTCTTCTTCCTCCTCCTCCTCCTCCTCTTCCTCCTCCTTCTTCCTCCTCCTCCTCTTCCTCCTCCTTCCTCCTTCCTCCTCCTCCTCTTCTTCTTCGTGTGTGTGTGTGTGTGTGTGTGTGTATGTTGGATAAGTACATAAAAATGTCACTTAGAGTGTAAGTGTATAATTCAAAGCAAACTCCATGGCCTCAGCATGACTCTTCTAACTGTACAGATGTCCATTGAATTGTATACACTTTGGGTCTGGCTAATGTCACTGCAAGTTTCAATATGCAAGTTCTTTACAATGAAGTTTGAACTTGTAATATAAAACAAAAGCCATCTTTCTGAAAATACAGAGAGGAAGTGGAAAAACAAGCTTTTTACTATTGCTCAAGCTTTTCACTTTCCCCTCTTTCCTTGTATTCCACTTTCTTATAGTTTGTAGGGCTGGAAAAATGGCTCAGAGATTAAGTGCACTTGCTGCTCTTCTAGAGAGGTCCTGAGTTCAATTCCCAGGAACCACATGATGGCTCACAACCATCTGTAATGGGGTCTGATGCCCTCTTCTGGTGTGCATGCAGTGTGTTCATATACATAAAATAAATAAATCTTTAAAAAAATATATTTGTAATCATAATAGGTGTAGAATTTGGGATTTTGCTCTGTTAGCATTGAAACACATATTTCAATCTATAGAAGAATCTGTAGAATCTATAATTAGAATCTATAGATGTTCTCAAAGGCTATCTCTTGGCTATCGCTTAGCTTTCATAATCACCAGCATCAAAACATATCATCATGTTTTTAGACTCTATATAAATTCTCAATGACTGCCTGTTGGTATGTTTGTGTGTGTGTGTCTTGATGTCTTTCACAATCATTTTTGTATTCTAAGTCCATTTAAAATAATCTTGTTCCTGGAACAGTGGTAAATACCTGTAGTATGATCCCAAGAGGCCAAGACAGGAAGATTATGCATTCAGAGCTGGTCTGTGCTGCACTTTTTTTTTTTTAAAGCCATGTTGGGAAGCTAATTTAATTGTAAAATGCAGTTTTAAAAACATTAAAATGACTGGTTGATGTTGGATGTCTTCCTCAATAGCTCCCCAACCTTAATTTTTTTTTTTTTTTAAAGCATATTCACACTGAATCTTGTGCTCACAGGCTAGACTGGCTGGTCAGCAAGTGTCAGAGATCTCCCTGTGTCTGCTCCGTAATGCTGTGATTGTAGGAATGCACTGCCACACTTGGCTGCTATGTGGGGGCACATGTTCTTTGTGCTTGTACAACTCCAGCATTTCCTCAACTGAGCCACCTGCTGGCCCTACTGCTTTTGCATATCACGTTGATATTTAGTAATGCTGCTAGGAATAAGCTATTCTGATGAACTAAGTGGAAAGGAGAAGAGAAGTTGAAAGAGGTTAGTAGGTCAGAATTGGTAGACCTCAGAGTTGTTATGAGTGCATCGAACCCTTTTAGCTTACAGTTGTGTTTCTAGAGCTCAGTACCTGTGAAGCAAAGACCGAGACGCTACAGTACATCTGGTGTTTGTCAGAGTGCACATTAGTGTGTTGCGTGAGTTGGAGAGATGGATTGACAGAGGAAATGTAGGATGCAAGAGCAGCCTCAAAATTTAAAATATTGTAGAACTTGCTTCAATAATTATTATTTTTATTTTATATGAGCATGTACACAGGTGTTTGTGGGTGTGTAGGCTCGAGGTTACAATCACTTTCCGAGAGCCTTTTTAAAAATATTTATTATGTACTTTATGTACATGAGTGGCTCTTGTTTTCATGAAGATAGAAGAGGGCATCAGATCCCATTACAGATGGTTGTGAGCAACTATGTGGTTGCTGAGATTTGAACTCAAGACCTCTGGAAGAGCCACTAGTGCTCTTAACTGCTAAGCCATCTCTGGAGCCCCATACTTTTTGTTTGTATGTTTGTTTTTGCCTTTTTTTTTTTTTTTTGAGACAGGATCTCTTATGAACCTAGAGTTCACTCATTTGGCCAGATGGTCTGGCCAGTGAGCCCCAGAGATCCTCTTGTTTGGCCTTCCCAGCTCCAAGGTTCCAAGTGTTCACTACTGTGCTTGACTTTACAAAGGTCCTAGGAACCTGAACTCAGGTCCTCATCTTTTATAGCAAGCACTTTACCACTGAGCCATCAAATAGCTCCTAACATTTTTCAGAGTTATGTTTAAAACAACCAGTTTTCTATAAAAGTTATTTGGTGATCTCTAGACTGGGGGAATATTATTTTGTGACAAGGATTGAACTTAAGGCATCCTACATTCTGAGTCTGTACTCTAGCACTGAGTTGTCTTCAGTCCCTAAAAACCTCTTCTGTAATATAAAAAAAATGTTTTGTGTTTAGAAAGCAAATACTTAGTAAATATTCCAAAACAGCAATGGTAGACTTTATGCCATGTATATGGTAAATATTTTAGGTTTTGTGTGCCACAAAAACCTAATCTCATCATACTATTTTTAATTTTTATTTTATTTTTTATATTTTTTATTTTATTTTTTTAAAGGTTTATATATTTATTATGTATTCTCCCTGAATGTATGCTTGCATGCCAGAAGAGGGCACCAGATCTCATTATAGATGGTTTTGAGCTACCATGTGGTTGCTGGGAATTGAACTCAGAACCTCTGGAAGAGCAGCTAGTGCTCTTAACCTTTGAGCCATCTCTCTAGCTCTGTATTCTTTTTTTTTAAACATGTATCAGTTTTTGAATTTTTGTTTAAAGGACAAAGTCTTACTGGGTGTACTGGCTGGTTTTGTGTGTCAACTTGACATAAGCTGGAATTATCACAGAGAAAGGAGCCTCAGTTGAGGAAATGCCTCCATTAGATCCAGCTATAAGGCATTTTCTTAATTAGTGAACAAGGGGGGAAGGCCCATTGTGGGTGGTGCCATCCCTGGGCTAGTAGTTCTTGGTTCTATAAGAAAGTAAGCCGAATAAACCAGGGGAAGCAAGCCAGTAAGTAACATCCCTCCATGACCTTCTGCTTCCTGACGTTCTTGAATTCCAGTCCTGACTTCCTTTGGTGATGAACAGCAATGTGGAAATGTAAGCAGAATAAGCCCTTTCCTCCCCAACTTGCTTCTTGATCATGATGTTTTTTGCAGGAATACAAACCCTGAATAAGACACTGGGCATGTTGCCCAGGATGCACTTGTGTGCATTCCTGTGTTTTTGACAATTTTTTAAAATTGTTAAAACCCTTCCTAGTTTGTGGACTGTATAAAATACTCTGTGGATCAGATTTGGCATGTAACTATAGTTTACAGTTTTCCAGCTTCTCCTAAAATATTTTCCCCTATTTGGGTATAAGTTAAAATATAGTAAAAATACCCATCATGTTTAATCTTAACATCCATCTATCCATCCATCCATCGATCGTGTGGTGCAGGTGCACATGTTGAGCTCAGAGGACAACTTGTGGAAGGTGATTCTAGACTTCCACCATGTGTTCTTGGGAGCTGACCTTAGGTTATCATTGTTGGCGGCAAGAACCCTTACCTGCTGGGTCATCTCACTAGCTACCTATTAAGTTTTAAATAACTGATTTATTTATGGAAGATCGATAATTTGAAGCATATTTGTAATTTGAATAAATAAATGGTTAATTAAAACATTTTAAAAATACCAAATTAATCAACTACTCATTACAGGTATTTTCTCACACTGGTGAGCTGCTGAGGTAGCTCTCCAGTATGGTTAACTCTAAATTATCTGTGGTAATGGGAAACAATAGTATGTGGATAAAGCTAAAACAAAAATATTTTATATAGTGCCTTCCTGTCATCTGCTGTGGTCAGAGCATGTGCTTGGGTTCATGAAGGAGATATGGGATTGGGGCTCAGGCTTAAAGGAGCCCTGCAAGCCAGTGTGATTGCTTCAGAGCAAAAAGAACCTGTTCTTGGCACTGTGTGGCTGACCTGTTATGTGGGGAAGCCTGCAGCATGCAAGACCACCTTGCTAGTAACAGTAAGGCTGAGAAAACTAATTACTAGGAAACTCTGAAAGAGAGATATTTAAGGTCTACACAATCATGGTGGTATTCTTTGGTGTGTGCTTTTTAGTTAACAGGATCTGTAGCAATGGTAGTATTATTTATAGCATGACACTTCATTAATTTTGTTTACTAGCTGAGCAAACTTGCCATAGATAAGTACTATTGTTGATACCTTTCTTAATAAGTGAATTTATTTTCATATAATTTGTAACTTTAGAAATTCCAGTATAAGGGTTTTTTTCCCCACTAAAATTCTTTGCAAATATTACTATGGAACCTGTACTTCAAAGATTCAGACTCCCATTAAGAGTGCAAAGGTGTTGACTACTGAAAGCTGGACACACACTTGATCTATTAAAGCATAGTAGCAACATATTTAAAAGTACCTTACATAAACTTCACAGTATCCTTTAAAACATGTTTTTAAATTTTGTTTTATGTATGTGGATGTTTGTCTGCTTGTATGTCTGTACACCCATGCATACCTGGTCCCCAAAGAGGCCAAAATATTGTATCCAATTTCCTGCAACTGTTGTTACAGCCAGTTGTAAACTGTCATGTGGGTGCTAGGAATTAATCCTAAGTCCTCTGGAAGCAGCCAGTGCTCTTAACTGCTGAGAGCCATCTTTCCAGGTCCTAAGAACCTTTTAAGTTGAAAAGTGTGTGGGATATGGATATATATATGGATATCTATCTATCTATCTATCTATCTATATCTCAATCACAGACACACACATATATATATGTATATGTATTTTTTTTGCTACTTGTTGCATTTGAGGGTATTTTTTTTTGGGGGGGGGGGCTTTTCAAGACAGGTTTTCTCTGTCCTGGAACTTGCTTTGTAGATCAGGCTGACGTCGAACTCACAGAGACCCATCTACCTCTCCACCATGATGCCTTTTCCCAGAGTTGACTTGATCTCAGTATATAGTGAAGGCAGGCCTTGAACCGTGTCACCAACCTCCTAAATTCTGGGATTATAGGATTGTAGGTGATTGTTGAAAACCTCAAAATCTTTTTGACCAATGTTTTGTGTTTGTCAACAAGCTTTTATTCAAGCACTAAATAGAAACACTACTTTTCTAAAATTAAAATTTGATTCTCACAAGAATTCATGCAGTTCAATCTGAGGTAACAAGAATACAACTTAATACTTTTTGATTTTCCTAACCTTTCTTATTGTAGACATTTAAAAAAAAATAATGATGAAAAGTAGGTAATGACACTAAATATCTGTTCTTAGCCAGTGTCTTGGTTAAAGATCCACGGTAATGAGATCCCATGACCCAAAGCAGCTTGGGGAGGAAAGGATTTATTTTATTTAATCTTCCTTATCTCAGTTCATCATTGGAGGCAGTTAGAGCAAGAATTCAAACACTGCAGCAGAGGAAGATGCTAAGGCAGAGACCTTAGAAGAGTTCTGCTTACTGACTTGCTCCTCATGGCTTGCTCAGCCTGTTTTCTTATAGAACCCAGGACCACCAGCCCATTACTTATAGATTACTTATAGATTACAAAATTACAACTTATGTGAAATGCTACATTAATGTTTCCTGAGAAATGTATTATTTGTTAGCACATAATTGAAGAATATAAATAGAAATATTAGCATTTGTACTATGAATGTGTGAGCACTTGATAACTTCTAATGAAATATGCAGCCAGTGTTGTGTTAATAAGAGGTAAGCAACTTGCTGAAGCAAACAAGCTTTTCTGTCAAATGACTTTTGAGGGGAGGAGGTGGATACTGAGAATTCAGTCAGGGACTTGTAAATGTTAGGTTTACTCCCTGACACTAGCCGTTGGTCCCAATTTTTAATATTTATATTTTAGTCTCGTCCCTTCTTTGTAGTATTTAAATAATATTAGATATTATACTAATATGTTATTTAAAGATATAACAATACTATTCTCTGCTGTTTTCTTTTTCTTTTATTTCTATTCTTTGGTCTTTCTTTCTGTTTGTTTTCTTGAGATAGGGTCCCTTTACATTGTTCTGGCTGTCCTGGAACTCACTATGTAGAGCAGGCAAGCTGGGCTTGAACTCAAGAGATCTATCTGATTCAGTCTCTTAAGTGCTGGAATTAAAGTTATTCACCACCATGCCTGGCTTTTTATTTTTATTTACATTTATTTATTTTTACTTTTATTTTCTGTTGAAAATGATCACTCTGGGTTGGAGAAATGATTCAGTTGCCCCAGTGTTTGCTGCACATCCATAAGGACCTGAGTTCTGTCCCCAAAGCCCATGTAAAAAGATAGGTGCAGTATGCACTTGTAATCTCATGCCAGGAGGCAGAAACAAACAGATGCCTTGGACTGGTTGGCCAGCAAGTTCAGACAAATTAATAAGAACTGTGTCCTAATGGGAGACTCAGAAATAAACAAGATGGACAGCTTATGAAAAATGACACTCAAGGTTGACCTCTGGTTTCCACATAAACAAGCATGTACATACATATGTGCACCCCTTCCACATGAACACATACACTAGCACCTATATATGTGCACATATTTGTACGGCCATACATGCAAACATGTACACATGCACATTTTAAGTTCTTCTCTTGACTTGTGGGCTGTAAGAATCAGGTGGTGGGCCAGATTATATTTGAAGGCATGTTTTGGTGACCCTTGTATTAGGTTAAAAATGAATAAAGACAAGAAAAAAGGTGATTTATGAAATGATTATGAAGGAATGTTGAATTTGTAGGTATTTTGAGTATTATTTATTTGGATACCAGGGCTATCTATCTTTGTGTTGTCTTCTTTATATGATATCTTGCAGACAGTTGATATTCATAAAGAGAAAGTTGCAAGAAGAGAAATTGGTATTTTGACCACCAATAAAAACACTTCGAGGACCCATAAGATCATTGCACCAGCCAACCTTGAGCGGCCAGTTCGTTATATTCGAAAACCTATTGACTACACAATTTTAGATGACATTGGACATGGCGTAAAGGTAGGTGGAGTTTCTGTCAAGATTTCTAAAGGCTTTAATGAAAATTAAAAGAAAATTTTAAAAAATTTAAGTTTGTTTAACTTACTTCCTGAAGGACCAAATCTTGGCACAGTTGTGGTTGTGAAGATTGCTTACTACTGTTGTATCCTTGTTACGTTTTCTTTAGTGTTACCTTTCAAAAGCAGTTATCTCTCAATGGGATTTGCTTAATCACTTTACTCGATCAACTAAAGTATAGTATAGTGGTTCTAATCTTTTAATGATTTAGTAATGATAGAAAAAAATTACCCAGCATATTATTGAAATGTTTTTCTTATCTTAAAAGTGTATCAGCAGACTTTTGGCATTAGTTTTCAGAACAGCATATGTTAGTAAATATGAATTTGAATTGTTTTTCTAGAATTTTATCTCAGCCTTATGGATGAGAATAGCGTAGTTAAAATTATAAATTTATTTCTGGTGACTGTAAATTTATAACATTTTATATTTTGGCCATCTTTTAAAGGTATATTTGTGTATTTAGTATGTATTGAAGTACCATCATCAAAACTATGTAGTGTTGGGAATGTGGCCCAGTGGTCGAGTATGAGCTTTTTCACACCCAACCCTGAGCTCCAGCACTAGTACTTCAGAACACCCACTAGCTATAGCTAGGGAAAAGTCTACTTCTAGTGAGGTGATTTTTGCATTTAAGAGACTTTTAGAGCATTAGCTAAGTACATTATTTACAATTTATATTTCAGTAGTGATTGTAAAATATCCTTAGGTATGACTTGCAATAATTCTATACCTACCTTGAAGCTATATAGTTCATGTATATGATATTTTTCTAATATAAGCCTATTTAAAACGTACACCGCTGCCAGGTGGTGGTGGCGCATGCCTTTAATCCCAGCACTTGGGAGGCAGAGGCAGGTGGATTTCTGAGTTCGAGGCCAGCCTGGTCCACAAAGTGAGTTCCAGGACAGCCAGGGCTACACAGAGAAACCCTGTCTTGAAAAACAAACAAACAAACAAACAAAAAATGTACACTGCCATTTTGGCCAGAAATCAATAAATTTTAATTTAATGTTTGTATAAAAATATGCAGTATAAATTCATAAAACAACTTTTATTTTAGAGGTTTTTTTGTTTTATTTTTTATTTTCTATTTTTTATTTTTATTTTTATCTTTTTTAGTTAGATTCTCATTGTTTTGGCCTTGGCTGGCCTAGAACTCATTGTGTAGGGCAGGCTGGTCTTGAACTCACAGAGATCAGCCTGCCTCTGCCTCCAAAATGCTGGGTTTAAACATGTGTGCTTCTGCACCTGGCTTATTCAGAGTTTTGAATAAGCATTATTATCTGGAACTTGATACTTAGTTTTGTAGTTGATTCCTATATATATTTTAATGACTAATTAAAGCATATTAAAATAGGATATGTAACTAAATGGATAATTAAACTGTAATTTGTTTTAACTTGGAGAAAGTTTGTTAAAGACTAACAGTTGCTAATAGAGTGTTATAGGCTGCTATCAGAATCTGATGCCAAAAGAAACTTGGAATATAAAAGATTTCTGTTTTCCTGTTTATATAATAAAAAGGTGATTCTTTTGTATAATTATTTTTTAATCCTTAAATAAAATATTTTTCTTTTAGGACTATAGCCTCTGTTGTTTGTAATATAGTATTTGCTAATGTGAAGAACTCTTTAAAGGAATTAAAGTTTTGAATAAAACAGTGTCTTGTATCATCAACGAAACTCCTGTCCATGACACATCTGCTTTAACCACTCTTTCTATGATCTACTGAAACATTATTTTGTTAATGCTGATTGCTTAACTTGTTTTTCTTTGTTTTCTTTCTTTTGTCTTCACATCCTGAAGTTCCAACTAACCTTTCAATGCTTTTCTTCCTTACCTCTTTGATTTGCTCCATTTATGCATTAAGTGGTTGCTTAGATTTAAGGTAAGAGATTCCAGGGCTGGATTTCCATTCTATGTTCTTATGTAGAATATTACATATGGGGAGTAAAGAGATATTTTACATTTGGCCTTTTTCAACAAACAGATTAGTCCTATTTATTTATTCAGGTCTGGCAACTTTGTTGTGTATCTTCATGTCCTGAGGATATTTTTGTCCATTTTGTTCATTGCCCTGTTCTTTGTGCCTAGAACAGTACCAAATATATATTAGGTGCTAGTATTTCAAGCATTTGATGAATGAATGGGTGCCTTTGTGAAATTGAAATATAATTTGTATTGTTATACAGTATTATGAGATAAAATTGCTAGATTTTTTATAAATGTTGAAACTTTGTTATCGATTGGAGGGCCAACTAATATGCTCTGTTTAACCCTCCCCCTGTGTAATAGCTTTTTATTCTATAAATGGTGTACTTATTAATAGTTTGTTAATAGTATGTCATTATCTTTTGACTTCTAATTAAAAAGTCGAGAAGCAAAAAATATGTCATATGCCTTTTTTAAGTTGCAGTACATTTTACAAAAGAATTTGTCTTTTTAAAATGTTTGTATAAAATATATTTCAATACAATCTCACCGTAAGTCTTTTTAAAAGTGATATTATTTGTATATACAACATCCAAAGTTGATGATAATGCTTAAGAAATACAAACTAAGAACTAGAGTTAAAGTCTGGAAGGTATTTCACAGTGCTAGAACACTTGCCTAGAATGTAGAAGACCATGGCTCAGTAGAAACCAACCAACCAAACAAGTAAAAACCCCACACAACCAAAATAAAACTAGTGCTGTTTAGTGAAGGATCAGTGATAAAGGCACTTTGAGTAATTCAAGAAGCCTGTCAAATACAGTGCCACTAAGAGGATCTTCATCAGTCTTGCCGTTTCTTTTGTTTGTTTGTTTGTTTGTTTCAAGACAGGGTTTCTTTTACTGTTCTGGAACTCTGTCTGCATAGAGACCAGGCTCAAATTCAGAGGTCCGCCTGCCCCTGCCCCTGTGTGCTGGGACTAAGGCGTGCACCACTGCTGCTCAGCAGCGTTTCTTTTTCTTTCTTAGCCAAGGTTTCTGATTTCTTTACAAATATGTATTTTTCTGTTGCTTTGCAATTTGCCATGTCTTTAGTATACTCAGTGATCATCAGATCAGATGACTGTATTACTTAGTATTAACTGTGGCCACAAAAATTTTGCCTGGTCATGGCAGGTGGGTCTGACCAAGGAAATAAAATCACTGGAAAATAGGCACTAAGCCCTTACCTTGCTGGTAACCCAGGAATGTGGAATTGTAGGAAGGTTTATTCTGTTTAAAATAGTTAAATTACAGTGAACTAGACTTAAAAAAAAGCAGGCAGTATTCAAATTTGGTTCTTGTTTTGTTAACCTACAAAGTGGTAACAGTGTCCAGAAATATTAAATGAAGAAAAGGAAATAGATCCTTTGCTCTTTATGGTTAGCCTCTTGCCTAGGCCATTTTTCCCATGCTTCTTTTCTCTAGGATGGGCGGTGTTTCTCTCTTGACCCTGAAAGTCTGTTTCATGTAAGAGATAGGTTCCCTGAGAGCTTCCTAGAAAGATCTCACAGGAATTATGCTTGGAGAAGATGCCTCAATGTTGTTTGTTTGTTTGTTTGTTTGTCTTTCTCTTAGAACCAGAAAGTTTCACAGTAGAATCCCAAAGGATTGTACTACTCTAGTAATTATACTATTTGGTTCTATAGAGAAAGAAAATGTTTGACAGGAAATTAAGGACTTGGCCAGTTTTCCCCTTCTTCTAATACATATATCGGTACAAATTATACATAATCCTTCTCTACTCCTGTATTTAAATTTATTTTTTTAAAAAGATAGATTATCGCCGGGCGGTGGTGGCGCACGCCTTTAATCCCAGCACTTGGGAGGCAGAGACAGGCGAATTTCTGAGTTCGAGGCCAGCCTGGTCTACAGAGTGAGTTCCAGGACAGCCAGGACTACACAGAGAAACCCTGTCTCGAAAAACCAAAAAAAAAAAAAAAAAAAGATAGATTATCAAACCCAGGGCTTTGAGCATATGCACTCAACTACTGAATTCTACATCTAGCCCTAGAGCGTTTCTTTTTAGAGTCTCATGCAGTGTAAGCTGATTTTGAACTCACTGTGTAGCTAAAGCTGGCCTTGAACTCCTGCTTCTTTTGTCTCAACTTCCAAGGCTGAAATTATGGACACGTGCCTGTAATTTTTTTTTTCATTTTTCTGACTCCCTCCTTTCACCCTGCCCCTTTTGTTTCCACTCAGCTCAGATTTCTTTGTGAAACATTCTTTTGTGGACCACTGCATAGGGCTCTTACCACCTTGACTCAGAGCAGTTAATGGTTTTCCATCCATGTGAGACCTTCACGAGATTAGGTTTACTAACATTTCTCTTGAAATGCTGAGAAGAGATCGAGGGATAGTTCATAAAGTAGTTCTTCTGCAGGTCCCTGTCTTCCCTAAGGATATACAAGTGTTTAACAATGTCTGAGGACACTTAGTGGATGGTGTAGTTGCCTGTAAGTTGTTCAGGCTCCTGTACGCAATCCCTCACTCACATAAGAAACTCCAATTAAATTCATCAGTTCACCAAGCCAGACGTGGATGAAACAACCTTTTCAGTTTGTTGTCACCATATGCTATATCTGGGGTGAATAGACATTTGTTTACATTTTCTAGAAAAAGTCACACACAACACCTTCCCCTAAAAATTTATTTTCACACTGCTACTTTTAAAAAAAAACATTTAAAATTAATTTTGTAGAGATGATTCTTCCTTTTAAATATGATTCATATATATATACACATATATGCATGTGTGTATATATATATGCACATATATGCACATATATGTATGTATGTGTATGCATATATATATGTATTCCTTTTATAGATCACTTTACTGTTTTTTTTCTTTTGAGTTTTTTTTTGTATGTAGATTCTAAGGCTTTGAGAAGGTACTGCAATTTAAATAAAAGCACTGTACAAATTGAAATAAAAAATAAATTATACTTGGAAAGTAATTTTCAAGTATCTTAGCTATCCCATGTATAGAATAAAATTTTCTTTCTTTCCTTTTCTATTCTTGCTCCTCTCCTTTCTGTTCCGAGCAAATTGAACTGTAGTTTAGTGTTTGGTTCACTTCTCCCCATCACTTACAGTAACTTTGGATTTTGTGTTGTTAAGGTTGAGCTTAAAGGACTTTGGTTACTATTCAAATCTTGTGGTATCAGTAATTCAAGTTAATGAAGTTTTTTAAAGCTATGGTGGTTATTTGTCAGATTACTTACAAAATTTTCTTCAAATGTGAATTGATTTTTTTTTGAAAGTGTCTTCTGACATTTTAAAGATAAAATTCCCATACCCTCTGTTTATTAAGAGGGAGATATCAAGGATAATTTATTTTTTCTTGATAATTTATATTTACTGTTTAAAAGCAACAGCAAAAGGATTGCATACAAATGCTTTACTTTAAAAATAATGACATTTCAAAGGTACCATTTGTCATTAAAGATCGTTTTAACATCACACACAACTTGTTCACTGGGCTATTCATTTGAAGAATTTATTGCTTGTTATATTATTTCTTGCCTGTTTGGATGATTAACAATTATTATTTTAGAACTTTAAAAAAATCCACTGAAGTCAAAGTTAATTTTGACAGTTTTAGTACTATGTGACATAATTAAGATTTGTTTTCACAAAATTTATATTTTAAAATTGGCCACACGTGGTGGTGCAGCCTTTAATCTTAACACCTAGGAGGCAAAGACAGGCTGATCTCTGTGAGTTCAAGGCCAGCATGATCTATATAGTTAGTTTCAGGCTAGCTAAGGCTTCATAGCTATACATATATATTAATATATATTAAAATATATATTAAAATTGTAAATCTGTTCCAGCTTCAGTGGTATAATATTTTACTCTTTCATATTTGTAAGTATAACATTTTAATTCGGAAGATAGTATGAGAAATTTGAGATTCTTTCTGTAAATGTGTTGTGAAGATGGCAATGCAAAATAATAGGGACTTAAAAAGGAGCATGCATGAATCTTCTTTGTAGTATTTTAACCTATTGGTCTCAAACAATGTGGTTGCATTGCACTGTATTCCTTATTGACTCCTTATAACTGGATTTTTAGGGATTTCTCTACAAGTATTGACATATTCCTTAGATGACATCATTAGTCCCAGATTGCCCATCTTTTTGTATTTGAAATTTTAGTTGGGAATAGATTCATGAATGCAGTCATGGTCCATCCCTGACTTAGGACTGACTATGTTACAGTTTCATGCCTCAACTAGCCCTCAGTTTGGGCTTGAGTGTTTTTAATTCCCACTAGAAGTCACACAGTGACAGTGGCTTTTGTGTTCTCAGTGATGGCTACCTCAGCCCTCACATTGTGTTTCACATACTTAGGAAAATGCCTTGAACTTCTAGCAGCTTTCAGGTAGGTGATTTCCTCATAAGGAGAACATTAAATCTGAATTGTGAGAGTAATTCACAAGAAAGAGCTGAACTTTTCTTTGTATATCATAAAATTTATCTGTATTTTCTATTTTCCAGTTATAACTGAGCATACGTATAGTTCCATATCTTTAGTTGGAAATTTGTTTATGGTATACTTGTTATGTAAAGAAAAGAAAACAGTCCCCTAAAGAATTATTAAAGGGCTTATTGTTTCTAATTGAGTTTTCTGTTATCACTAAAGTTTTTATAATTATACTATTTAATTTTAGCTGACTATCACATAGTCTAACCAGTGATCTGTTGGTGTGATGGCATAATGGCAAATAAATTTTTCACATACAAGCTTAAAATAATTTGAAAAATCCTATTAGGAAGAGTCCTTTGAGTACAACTGTAGAGTAGTAGAATAGGACTTGCATACAAATTGCATGGCCTCTAAGTTTTTTCTTATTTTAACCTTCCCCTCTTTATTTTCCAAAAGCCACTTAATTTCACTGCATAGAAGTTAAGTTGTGTTTTTTCCAATATTTTTCTAGGTGAGTACCCAGAATATGAAAATGGGTGGACTGCCACGTACAACGCCCCCAACTCAGAAGCCCCCAAGTCCCCCTATGTCAGGGAAAGGGACACTTGGGTGAGTATATAGTAATAAGAAACCATAGAAAAATAACAGAAAAAAAATACTGTTGTATTAAGAAAAAAAACTAACAGCCTCTATGTAAATTGTAGAGAGAATATATTCTTGGTAATGTTACCTTTTATATGTACCTTTTTTTTTTCTGATAAGCATATCTTTGTACTTTAAAAGTGGTTGTTTAGAAATTATTTTTTGTAGTGAAGACATCAAGACAAAATCCTAGCCTAAATACATGGTTAATTATAAAGTGAAGCCTACCTTTTTCTTGAAAATTTTAATGATCTGTCTATATTACAGTTGAATTTATCAGGCTATCTTTGCCAAGAGGCTATGTGGATTATAATATTCTGTGTGTACTTGTTATGATATTTTTGAGTTTTGATTTGGGCTCTGGAGTTAACTATTTTAAAAATATTGAAAGAAGGAAAGCATGACGTTTTTCTTGCACTGTATTCTAGCTTTATGATTCAGGTTTGGGTTCAGGTGGGTGTAGTGTAATCCAGAAGCCAGTTGACTGAAACTCTGGTTTAACTCTACTGTATGTCCTATGTCCTATGGTCGTCTAGACAGTTTGTCAACATTTAGTTGTTTTGTGTGTGTGTGTTTAAAATTTGTAAAGGGAGTAGTATTTTGTCCTCTGTCAACTTCTTAGGGTCATTGTACTACAAATTGGATTTTTAGAAACGTATCAGACAAGATGCTTTCAGAACCATTGTCTTTGTGATTTTTCGACAAAAAAAAAAAAAAAAAAAGAAAAGAAAAGGCCAAGAACTCATAAGAAGAAAACCCAAAACAAATAAGCAAAAAATGTTCACTCAAAACTTGGTCAAGCAGTTTGGATTTGGAGGGGACAGAGACAAGTTGATGGGGGAGATAATATTGGAAAGACACAATTTGATCAATCAATTTGACCAGTAGAAAATAAACCATAAAAATGCAACCAGGAATAGAATGGTTTTAATTAATGAATTTATTGTATTGTATTTGTTTTTAGGCCAGGATGTCACTATATAATGTAATCTATATTGACCTTGAACTCTTGGTTCCCCCTTCCTCAAGTTTTGGAATGCTGGGATTCCAAGATTGTGCCTGTAATTCAGTTTATCTGAAGTGATCATTTTGTTCTTAGAGAGGAGAGAATCTAGCAGGTCAAGTAAGGTTTAGACTTGAGAGAGTGTGAACACGACTGCAGAGGAGTATTTGCTCTGTTTCCCTTGGGTGTACCACCTAATGGATTTGTTAAGATTTCAGTTAAAATTGTTATCAAGTGTCCGGTAATTTTGAATGTTTGTATTCATATGCCAGTAGTGCATTTTCTTGGGTATTAGCAGGAGTGTTGCTGCTCCTTGGAGAGCAGAGTGCTAAACTTCATCTGTTTGTTTGATGGTCCTGGCTGGTTTAGTCTTTCTCTAGTTACCATATTATTCCTCTTCCTCCTGTTCTTTTCTTTCTTTTTTTTTTTTTAACTCCTTTAACTTTGTTCATATCACTTTTTTTTTGTGTAGCTCTCAAGTAGTGAAGTTAGAATGGAACATTCTAGTGTGTAGAAAACATTGTCAAAAAGTAGAGTTTAGAAATTAATTTCTTGATATAGATATCATATATATCATATACCAACATATAATATGTATTATATGTCATATATAATATAACTTACTTAATTTAAATTAATTAAATTAAATTATTTGTAATTTGTTTATATATGTGCATTCTAATTTCAGAGGTGGTTGTTTTTTGTTATTTTGAGACAAGATTTTTCTGTGTAACAGTCTTGGCTATCCTGGAGCTCTCTCTGTAGACCAGGCTGGCCTCAAACTCACAGAGAGCCGTCTGCCTCTGCCTCCTGAGTGCTAGGATTCAAGGCTGCCCGCCACTGCCCAGCTGGCCCCCACTGCCCAGCTGCCACAGCTGGCCCCCACTGCCCAGCTGATGCTTGAAAATATTTTCAATTCAAAGTCTTGGCCTTTCTCCCTTTCATTTTGACACAATAATAGATATAATGCCCCTTAGTTTTTTGAATTGTTAATTATTTTTTGTTTATTGAATAATACTTGAGGGAAGTAGGGTAACCAGTGCCTTTGAAAAACGATCTTATGTACTGGTTGGTGGTAGTGCACACCTCTCGTCCCAGCACTCAGCACAGCCAGGGCTATACAGAGAAACCCTGTTTCAGAAAAAAAAAATCTTGTTCAAAGTCAGTGAGCTATTAACTTGAGTGGCCAAGGAAAGTAATGCTTAAAGTAACTTTGGGAACCTTGTGGGGTGGGGAGAGAATTACTGAGACATACAAGAGTCAGTTGAGCAGCACCCTCTTACAAGAGAAGAAAGCTATTTTACATTTCATGCCTTGGGATGCGAAATTCTTTTAAAGTTGTGATCTCATCTGCAAGATATCATCTTGAAGGATTTAGTCACTTAACAAGAACTGAATGAATGCTAACCAGCGCTCCAGAAAGCATCTTATGACCTATTATTTTCTTTTCTGTTTTTTTTTTTTCATTTGCTTCCTTTGAAAGGAGTATTTGGGAAAAGGGAAACTTTTTTTTTAAAAAAATAATATCTGGTTTGGGTTTTATAGTTTAACTAAGATAGAAGGACTTAGTAGTCTTTTAAAGTTTCTCTTCAATGTTGAACTCTAAGGAGGAAAGAGATTAAGGTGAAGTTGAGGGAGAAAGGTCGTAAAAAAGAAAAAATGAAGTAGTGCATTTTTAAGTACCAATATAACTTTAATTTCTGTGTTTAGTGTATAAAAAGAGGAATGAGTTATGGCTGGTACTGATCATCATGTGGAGTTTGTGACTCCAAAAATCTAGATTTGTTATCTGTATTTTTAAATATCTATGGTTAGGGAGAGAGAGGAGAAGAAGATAATTAGTGCATTCATTCAGTGCATTTGGGAGATTTTCACATGATCCTAAAATAATTCAAATTCTTCTAAGAAAAGAGTCTAGAAAACATTGGCCTAAACAATGGAAAACTTTTTGTGTTTTCTGCAAACAAATGAACAAAATTACATTAGCATAGGGATGAAGTTGGAGACTGAAATTTACACTACATACTCTCCAGAACTCTCTCCATTGGTAGAAGAGTTATACTGAAGGAAAGACAAATTGATAGCTGGGTTAAACCACATTTCCTCTTTCTGCTTACAAATTGTATTTCACTGGCAACTCTGAAGTTACCGTGCCGAAACTTGATTAATCACACAATACATACGCTCTTCTTTTTGTAGGCGGCACTCCCCCTATCGAACACTGGAGCCAGTGCGTCCTCCAGTGGTACCAAATGATTACGTACCTAGCCCAACCCGTAATATGGCTCCCTCGCAGCAGAGCCCTGTGAGGACAGCTTCTGTGAATCAAAGAAATCGAACTTACAGGTATTTTCTCTACCTCAGCGCAAAACATGATGGTCAGAGTACCATAATCTCTTCAGATAACTTAAGTTAATCTCTCTCATTTTCCAAGCACTAAGTTCTTTTTCTCACTCTACTCTCCCAAACCTCATCTGATTTCCTCTCTCTCCTCATGTTCTGATGCAACTTTGAACAGCCAGGAAAGTGAAAAAGACATCCTAGAGATACACTTAAGTTAATCTAAAAACTGTTACTGACCAGGAATAGAAATTGCAAGTTATTTTTTGGTGGAAATCTACAGATGAAAAACTATTCATAATAAAATATTGTATATCACCATGCCATTACAAACTGAAATAAAATAATTTAGTAAAATTTACCAAAAGCTTCTTTAGATAGGTATTAAACCAGGATATAAAACGTAGTATTATTTTGATGTGTAAGCACCAACAGTTTGCCTTTACATTTATAGGAATTTACTTAAATTTTTTTATAAGATAGACTTTATAAATAGGTATCAAAACAAGTTTACTGAACTAAAGAATTTCTTCGTTTATTAAGGAATTCATATTTGAAATGGAAGTCTTTTGAATTACATTCCTTGTAGCTATGTCTGTTTCAGAAATACATGGGAATCCTGGTATTGTGCTCTCCATACTCATGCTTTGGTGGCTCTTCCTTCTTCAGCAGCAGTGGGAGCAGTGGAGGAAGCCATCCAAGTAGTCGGAGCAGTAGTCGGGAGAACAGTGGAAGTGGGAGTGTGGGAGTTCCCATCGCTGTTCCTACTCCGTCTCCTCCCAGTGTCTTTCCAGGTAAAGCATTAGTGGTCATTTGTTTGGTTTTATTTTATGAATTTGAATTCAGTTTGTTTTGGAATTTAGTGAGTTTTCGTGTGTGTGTGTGTGTGTGTGTGTGTTTTGCTGGCTGTTAAACCCAGAGTCTTCTGAAATGGGTTTTCTTCTTAATGAAAATTTTAAAGAAGACTTCCATAGCACTCCATAAGTTTTTGGGAAGTTTGTACATACCCAGCTGATCTTAATAATTGCTTTGTTTTCTTTCTACTTAGTTACTTTGTTACTTTGTTTTATGTCCTCGGTGATCATTCAGTTGGTGCTTTGAGGTTTCATGTTCATTATTGTATGAGCTTCTTATTTAGTTTCACTTTGTATTATAATTGCATTTTCTTGGAAATGGTGAAGACATTGTTTGAGAATCATTTTGATAACAAAGAATGGGAAATGTAAATTTAGACGAGCATTAGAATCCAGCAGTTTCTGAAAAACTTTCTTCCATTTCTTGAAACAGATATAGTAGTTTGGTTTGAAGACAGTTTGAATTTAGTTTTAAAAGCATGAACGTAAAACCATTGAGAGCAGCTGAAGGGACAGCTGATGGATTCAGAGCCTTATTGCTCTGGTAGACCCAGGCTTGGTTTCTGTATCCAGACTGGGTGGCTCACAACTGCCTGTAACTCCAGCTCCAGAAGATCCAGTCCCCTCTTCTGGCCTCTGGACATCTGCATGCATACTTGCACACTGCATTGCACACATAAACTCTTTCAGGCTTACACATGTGTAAAAAAAACTTTAATAAAAAAAACTAGCAAGATAAGCCAGGTGTGTTGGCATACCCTTTTACCCCAGCACTCAGGAGGTAGAGGCAGGTAGATCTCTTGAGTTTGATGTCAACCTGATCTACAGAGTGAGTTCCAGGACAGCCAAGCTCCACAGAGACACCCTGTTTCCAAAAATCAAAAGCCAAAACAAACCCTAAACTCAACAAGATAGACTGTTAAATAGTTGATTGTGGTTCGTGCCTGTAATCCCAACATGCATAGGCTAAGGCTGGAGAGTAGTGAGCTAGGAGCCAATGGGCTATGTAGTGAGAATTACTGTCTCTAAAAACAAAACAACATATTTAATTATAATAATATAAATAGTACCTTTTTACAAAAATCACACAACATGGTATGCATGTTTAAGGTTTTTTAAACTGATAAACTACTGTTTGGAATATGTCTGTTGTAATTCTGAAAGAATATTGTTGCTTTACTATAGCTTTATATCCTTAGAACATTTCATGATAAAAATAACAATATACAGGAAGCCGTTTCCTTCTAAGTTAGTAACTTTCAGGGAAAAAGGAAGACTTGTTTTTAACTGATTAACATTTTTCTATACTATCCTGAGCATCTTGAATTATTTGTTGCTTACCTAATGACCTTAACTATTCTTTTTCCAGTGCTTCATTCTTTTGGCTAGTGTTAAGTGCTGAATACTCTTAATTTTCCAGTGCTTCTTCTAATGCTAATGTGACTGCCTTATTAATGCTGCCTCTTACTCCTCTTTCCCATCAGCCCCTGCTGCTGGCTCTGCTGGCACTCCTCCCCTTCCTGCTACTTCTGCATCTGTCCCCACCCCTCTTGTTCCTGCTACTGTTCCCTCCTCCACTGCCCCAGACGCTGCTGCTGGGGGTGCACAGACCCTTGCTGATGGCTTCACTTCTCCAACTCCCCCTGTTATTTCTTCTAATCCCCCCACAGGTGAGTATTGGCATGGCAGACAGATCCAGTCATCTGCCCATTCTTTCCTGAAACCCCGGCTTCATATTTGTTGGTTTGGCTTTACTTTATAATTTTTTTTAACTGATGATACATATTTTAATCAGAAAGAGGCATGTGAACAAAGAATTTACTGAGAAAAATGGAGTAAAGTCTGTAATACATTTGTCCAATAAAGTAGCACAAACATTAGTATTACTTTAATTTATTCTGTTAAATATTTGTGAACTTAGTATGGAGTCACCTTCTGTATAGTTTTGAAAATTTAACATTAGAACTATTCTAGGAAGCTGAAGAGATAGCTTACTTGGTAAAATGTGTGCTGTGCAGCATGAAAACTTGAGTTCTATCCCCAGCACTCACAGAAAAGCCAGGCATGGTGGTGTGTGTTTGTAATTCCAGTGCTGGCGAGCTGAGCTGAAGGCAGGTGGGTTCCTGGAGCTTGCTGACTAGTCAGCCTAGTCTATCGGTAAGTGCAAGGTCCTAGCGAGATAGATTGTTTAGAAATACAAGGTTGGCGGCTCCTGAGGACTAACACCAAAGATTGACCACTGGCCTCTGCATTCTCAACTATGCATATGCACATGTATCTGCATATAAAACCTGTGCTGCTCTCGCACACCATACTGTTATTATAGGTTAAGTAATTAACAAAAACAAGCCTATGACAATTGAAAAAATATTTTTATAAAGATCTATTTATTTTATGTATATGAATACATGGTAACTGTCTTCAGACAGAGCAGAAGAGGCCATTGGATCACTCCTATAACAGATGGTTGTGAGCCACCATGTAGTTGCTGGGAATTGAACTCAAGACCTCTGGTAAAGCAGTCAGTGCTCTTAACCACTGAGCCATCTCTCCAGCCCCCCAAAATATATTTTAGTGCAATATTTTATATAGCAAATTACAAGCCTCTATGTTTATAATAAACTCATAAATTATACTTTCAAAGGACTTCAAGATTATTTAAGTTGACTGATGTTTTATTTAATCCCATCCAGCGGGGCATTAAACAGGAGTCCAGGGAGGTTACCTGAAAGAGAGGATGGGGGAAACAGGCGAACACAAAGAATGAGTGGCTTGTCTATAGTCTGATCAAACTGCCATTTTTGCTTTTTCACACAGGGGTTATATACACAAAAAGGCAGGATGTGGGGAAGGGGATGACGCAGGAGCATAGGTGTTCAGGGGGAGTAACAGATATCTTTCAGACAGGGTATCAGCTGGATGAAGGTTCAGTGGATGGGTCACCATGACTCTGTTTATGAATCACTTGTCCTTATCTAAGTTGGTACTATCCACCAAAGCTACCCAAGGTCTATAACTAGCCACAAGACCCATGAGTACTTGTTCCTATCCATGCTGGTAAATTTCCATCCAAGCTGCCTGTTAACAATATCTTATAGCTGTCTGTTCCAGTGTTTTTCCACAGAGACCCAAGACTTTGTGCTAGCAGGCTGACTTAGACCCATTGCTGACTTTAGGCCTTCAGTGTATTAAGGAAGGCTGCCCTTGACAATTTAATATTTCAACCTAGTGCTAGGGAGATGACGCAGCAGGTAAAGGGTTTGCTGACTAGCCAGACAATGAGAGTTTGGATCCTTGGGGCCCATATGGTATAGAGAGAACCGGTTTGTATAATTGTCCTCTAATACACACACACACACACACACACTCACTCTCTCTCTCTCTCTCTCTCTCTCTCTCTCTCTCTCTCTCTCTCTC